TGCCGTCAAAGCGTTTCTGCAGGGACAGCGCGAACAACGCCACCGCGTCAATCTGCTCCTCCGTGCACTCTGCATCAGAGACCAGCTTCCACGCAACAGCCGCCGGGCCTTGCATGGCCAAGAGCTGCGGCACGAGCTCCGGCTGCGCGTCCTCAGCAGCAGGCTGAGGAGCACCATTGGGTTGCCAGTCGCCCCCAACATCGGGCAAGGTCTCTCCATCCGGACTCGCTTGCTTCTTCTGGAGCGCAATGCTCTGCCGCTGTAGGGCCAGCATGTCAAAGCAGCTGTCGTCCAGCCGCGTGCCCAGATGCCCCCGCGCGCCGCTGCTGGCTGGCTGCGCAGAGCTCGCCTGCAGCATGCCGCCGCACGCTCGGCCCAGGTTCCCCAGCTGCTTATCCGCGTAGCTGAGGCGGCTCTTCTGGCTCAAGCGCTGCAGTTGGTCTTGCTGCAGAGCCAGCTCGGTTGCTCTGGTGTGGTCCCGCAGCGGAAACAGTGGGATCTCAGTAATTTCGGCGCCCTCAACTTCCTCCTCTGCGTCGCTGCCACCGCCTCCGCCCACGTCAACGAGCTCCAGCGGGGCCCGGCCCTTGGGCCCTCCGGCATCGCTCGCGGAGTCCTCATCCGCCTCCAGGTGCGCAGCCGCTGCCGGCCGAGGCTTAGCCCGCGCCTCCGCCGCGAGGCCCACGTGCGCCAGCACGTCTCGCGCCGCGTGCGCGCAGAACTCCGCCAAGGTGCACTGCTCCTCGTGCCATCGGTAGTGGTGGTTACTGAAGGCGATGATGCGCCGGGCCGCCTCCACAGGCATATGCCGCGCCAGCTGGGCTCTTGCGAAGTTCGCTAGGCTGAGGAGCACCAGCTGGCCCTCCTCGAGGTTCGCCCGGGGTTCTTCCAGCTCGGAGAAGAGGGTCGTGTCCGCGAGCACGAGCCTCTTGCGGGCCAGGCGGCACCTGGAGTCCGCGCGCGCCGCCTGCACGTGGATCTCCGCGCGCCGAAGTCGCCGCGCCCGCTCGAACGTGTGTGGGCGCACGGCAGGGCAGTCGCAGTTCTTCGACATATGGCTGCACTGGGTCACGCCGCCACAAGTGAGGGGGCCCTCGCACGCCCAAGGCGTGAAGAGGAGGGCCTTGAAGAGCGAGTTCTGCTCTGGGTCCTGTGCCCAGGTCGGGCACTGGAAGCCGTCGATGGTGGGGGCGTCCATCCGCGTCAATTGGACCTCCTGCGCGCACCGCGGGGCCATGACGCAATGGTTCTCGAAGGCGAAGAATCTCGGCCCAGAAGCTTTCGCCCGGCTCGGCTTCAGGACTCGGCGGACGTACATCCTGTAGATGTAGTGCGGCATGGTCTGCAGGCGAGGGCCCCTGTGGGCGTAGTCGTCGCCCATGTTCGCGCTGGTGGTGCACGCCTGCATCTCATCGCACTCCGCACCGTCAGCCTGCTCATCACCAGCAGGGGTCTCGCCAGGAGGCTGAGGAGCACCGCTGGTCCCATCTGCGGAATGCTCTTCCTCGTCCTCGGCGACTGGGATCTGGATGCGGACTGCCTGTATTGGCACCCGTTCATTCTGCTGCATCTCGCCCGCACTTTCGTGGTTCAGCAAGCGCTTGCACTGCTGGCAGGCCCGCTGCAGCTGTCTCGTGAAGAGGCGCGCATTGTGGTGCGACTGGAGGCAGTCGCCGCCTGTGAGGATGCGCAGCGCCACCTCCGTCGTGGAGAGCCAGAAGCACCGGTTCGCCATCGAGGCCAGCCGGATACAGACTCGCCGAGCGCGGCGAGCGATGTCCTCGGTCGCCCAGCGCCGCTTGGCCAGCGTCTGGTCCTCGCCATCAGCGCCGCCCTCACTGAGCACCTTGCGGGCCTCCGCCTCCTGCCCCTCCTTCTCCTGCTGTTCCAGGCGCTGCATGCCGCCGAGCATGGGCTGGAAGAGCGGCGTCATGGATTCCATCATCTTGCCTTGGTACTTGGCGATGTAGAAGTCCATGGAGAAAGCCTTCTGGAAAGCCGCTTGGAAGCTCTCCACGACCGCCGCATCTTGTGGCTGCAAGGAGCCACAGCCGTAGAGCCACTTTTTGCCGCCGCTGCGCACTGCGTTTGCCGAGCCTGGGTTCTTCTTCGTGGCCGTCTTCTTGGTGAGCCTCCTGCGTTTGGCCGGCTGAGCAGGGGCGGGCGCAGGCGGCTCTTCCGGGGCAGGCTGAGCAGCACCACCAGCCTGAGGCACTTCTGCTGTATCGGCGGTCTCGTCTAGCGCACACATCAAGAACTGGAAATCCACGTTGCAACGGCTGGTGACTTGAGAGACGTCGTTGCTGGAGCTCCTGAACGGCTGGTCGCGTTTTACCTGGCAGCGGCACCGCTGGTTGCGGTCATCTGAGAAGTCGACGAACGGAGTCCGGACCAGAGGCTTGCCGCGCCGACGCACTCGCTTGGTGCGGCCTGCCAGACATAGCTGCTGGATGCGGAAGAACCAGAGTCGGCGCGACGGAGTCCTGTTCGAGCGCAGACTCTGTTTGGTCTCGAGCTTCTTCTTGACGTACTTGACGCACGTCTCGGTGCAGTCGTGCTCGTGGTTGGAGCAGATGTTGCAAAAGAAGTCATGGCTAAACGCTGCGGCCCACGCCCCCGCATCTGCGTGAATCTCCTCGACCGAAGCTGGCGAGCCATCGGGCGTGGGGACTCCCACAATCGCTCCATCCTCGTTCATCTGGAAGAGGCCAGCGTGGCTGGCTGGCGTAGCAGGCTGAGGAGCGCCACCAAGCTGCCCGAAACTGGTTCGCTGGCGGTAGCTTGGAAACGTGGACTGGAAGGCCCCTGCGAGCGGAAGGCCCCGGCACGCTGCAGCGCCGACTGCAGGCATCCGGTTCTCTGCGGCCGCCCGAGCGCGCTCCTCCACAAGGTACGGCTGCTCCACTGGCGGGCCGAGCGCTACCTCCTCGCGCAGGGTGCCGCCCCCCTCAGGCTGTCGCCGAACGGCTTCTTCAGGATGTCATCCGAGCACAGTATATGACTACCGCCACCAAGATCGAGGATAATCTACGATGCGATGTGGTGCAGTTTTGCTCTGGTGAAAAGCCCGCAGTCCCCCTCCCGCCGCCAGCGGCAACCGGGCTGCCCCCTCTCTCTCGAGGACCGAAACAGGATTCATCAAAGCACGCGCGGTGGTGGTGTATATAATTTTGGTTACCAAGGGGGGCGATTTTTATACCACCACCAAGAAGTGCTGTTTCTGCTTCAGGAACTCCCTATGCCATGGCGCCTGCGAGCTGCGCCGCGCTCCTTTTCGCCGTGGCGTCGCAGTGTCGTCTGGCATGGCCCTGCCCCTAACCCTTTTTTTGCGGAAAATTATTGTTGCGGGCGGTGGTGGTGTATACAAATTAGCCTCGCATGTCATCCACGTGGATTTTTGCTTTGCTCAGGCCCTGACGAAACGCGCCGACGTCGCGCGCAAAGAAGAGGTCAGCATCAGCGTCCTCGACGATCGTGGCGCACACCCGCCCAAAGTTGGCGCAGCGGGTGCTGGACCTCTTTCCGGACATCATTGGCTGCTCGAGCCCGAAGTTAAAGGAGGCGACCGTGAAAGACTCAGGCTGAGGAGTAGCGCGAGCAGGCGCGGCCGCAGACGCCCCTCGGTCCCTCCCCGCAGGCTGAGAAGCACCGCGGGAGGCCGAAGATGGGGGCGAGTCTCGCGGCGAGGCGAAGGCCATTGCAATGTAGATTGCGCAGGACAGGCACCTCGTGGGGAGGGGCAGTGGAATGTCGGAGACACGTTCTGGACCAAAGACGGCTATCAGAGGCAGAGGGGAAACTGGATTGCATTAAGAGCGCGGGGGGCTTCGAACGCCTCAGCAATAGCGCTAAGAACACAAGGGCGGCAAGCAAAAGGTAGCCCGGGAATGGAGGTCTGGGAACTCGATGAACACGAAGTTTCTTACAGTTGGCTCCGGGCATTCAAAATGTATCCCGGGAATGGAGTTATGGGAACTATGTGTCCTGGGAATGGAGTTCTGGGAATTCGACGAACACGAAGTGGCCTACAGTTGGATCTGGGAATTAAACATATGGCCCTACTACTACTACTACGACTACTACTACTACTACTACTACTACTATTACTACTACTACTACTACTACTACTACTACTACCACCACTACGACGACGACTCCGACTACTACTACTACTACTACTACTACTACTACTACTACTACTACTACTACTACTACTACTACTACTATCACTGCTAGTACTACTACTACTACTACTACTACTACTACTACTACTACTACTACTACTACTACTACTACTACTACTACTACTACTACTACTACTACTACTACTACTACTACTACTACTACTACTACTACTACTACTACTACTACTACTACTACTACTACTACTACTACTACTACTACTACTACTACTACTACTACTACTACTACTACTACTACTACTACTACTACTACTACTACTACTACTACTAACTTTCCCCAAGGGGGTCGTCGGAGACGCCAAAGGCGTTGAAGTCCGAGGAGGAGAGGAGAAGGAAAGGACGGAGAGGGAGGGCTCGGAGGCCCCTGGAGGGGGGGATGTGCCCATCCGAGGGAACGGTGCACCCCCCCTCCCCGTCGTGAAAACGAGGCACCAGCCGTGGCAACGACCCCCCCCCTATCCCCCCCCGCGACCTGAGTAGACCACCCAAGCCAGCGGGGAGCGTCATAGGGGGCGGGGTTTCTGACGTCGATGAAAAAAAAGGAGGAGAGCGGGAGGCAAGGAACAGGCAGACGAAAGCCCTTTTAGGCTTCACCCGGCGTGTGGGCATGCCCTTTTTGGCTGTTGCGGGGGCAAGCTCCTCCGGCTCCTCCTGCCTCCTGCGTTTTGCCTCCTCTTCCTCCTCTCCGCCTCTGCCATCCTGCCTCCTGCCTCCTCCTCCTCCTGATCCTCTTCCTCCTCCTCCTCTCCTCTTCCTCCTCCTCCTCCTCCTCCTCCTCCTCCTCCTCCTCCTCAGTAGGTGTCTGCTGTTGCACCAGCGGATTCGGAGCCGTTCGGCATCAGCGACGCGGCGGCAAAGGCGCTGGAGAGCTTGCGCGAGAGGGGGGCAGGACGTGAGGAGCGCCCTCTGGATCGAGGGGCGCTTCGCGGACAAGAAGAACGAGGCCGTGAGCGGCGTCTACCTGCAGTTGCCAGCTGGATTCGAGAGTTGCGGGGCATTCGAGAAGGATGGTGACCAGAAGTTTCTCCTCGACGCTTACGCCGCTCCGCCGACAGGCGGGAGAGGGGATTCGTGACGACGTCCCGGCTTGTTTGGCTTCCCTGGGGCGGGCAAAAGCAGAAAATGAGGACCGACTGGGTGGTGCAGCCTTTTCACGGCGAATCATTGTTTAGGAAAGAGGAGGAGGAGGAGGAGGAGGAGGAGGAGGAGGAGGAGGAGGAGGAGGAAGAAGGAGGAGGAGGGAGGAACAAGAACAGGGAAGACAGGAAGAGGAGGAGAAGGAGGAGGAGGAAGGAGGTAGGAGGAGGACGAGGAGGAGGAGGAGGAGGAGACAAGAATAGGAGGAGGAGGAAAAGGGAGGAGGAGGAGGAGGGAGGAGGTAGGAGGAGGGGAGGAGGAGGAGGAGAGAAGGAGGAGGAGGAGGAGGAGGAGGAGAGGAGGAGCAGGTAGGTGCAGGAGAGGAGGAGGAGGAGGAGGAGGAGAGGAAGACTATTACAGTGCAGTTGAGGAAAAGGATGGGAGAGGAGGGAGGAGGAAGAGGAGGAGGAGGAGCAGCAGCAGCAGCAGCATCAGGAGCAGAGAAGCGGAGAGAAGGAGGAAAAGGAGGAGAAGGAGAAGGAGGAGGAGGAGAAGGACGGGGAGGAAGAGAAGACTAACAGTCGCCAGTTGAGGACAAAGGAGGGGGAGAGGAGGAGGCGAGGAGGAGGAGGAGGAGGAGGAAGGAGTGAGAAGGAGGAGGAGGAGGAGAGGAGCAGCAGAAAGGAGCAAGTAGCAGGGGGGAGGAGGAGGAGGAGGAGGAGGAGACCGAGGAGGGAGAAGAGAAGAAATGGACAAAGTCAAGGGGGGATCGGTGCATGCGCCGGCTGGGCAGGGACGTGCTCCTCCGCTCAGATTGGAAGCGAGCACGCTCACATAGTGCTCGATGCGCGCTTTGGGGACATGTGGGTGCGGCTTTGGGGACACGACTTCGAGGCACTCTCTTGGTTCACCCCCTCCTCCTCTCTCCTCACCTCGTCCTAATCCTCCTCCTCATATCACCTCCTCCACCTCCTCCTCCTCCTTCTCCTCCTCCTCCTCCTCCTCCTCCTCCTCTGTCCCTACTCAGCCGGCCCCGCATTTCACCCCTTTCCGTGTGCGATTGTTTGCGCTTGTTTCCCTGCCCACGCGCCGGATGTGAGTCAGCGGGTGAGCGAGCGGGTGGCTTTTGGGGCTCCTGTCCCTCTACAGGGGGAACATTCAAAAATGGTCAAAACATAGTCTGGGGACTATTTTTTGACCATGTGTTTGGGGCATCTTTTTAGTACTTCTTGGGTATTTTTCCCGGAAAGGGCGTGGGCCCAGGGTTCTCTTTTAGTGTGGTAAACCTGTCCCCGGTGCCTCAACTGAGGTGGGCCGGCGGATTCTTTCCCTGATGAATATCGAGGTCGAGGTGGGCCGGCGGATCAACATTTGAGGATGTCTCAGGCGAAACGCTTGTTTTTGAAATCCCGATCGATAAATCACAGGGTGCGGGCCACCCTTTCGTGTGTTGAGTATGTCTCGAGCGAAACGCTTGCTCCGCAGAGTTACCGATGATGTCTCGAGCGAATCGCTTGTTTTGTAGAACTTGAGGGATCTGGGCGCCCCAGAGATTTGCCTTCTCCAGGGGCACGAACCCGTGTGTTTTAACGTATGTGCCTATAGATTTGCCCTCTCCAGGTGCACGAATCCATGTGCTTTTACGTATGTGCGACCACCCCCCAGCACGACCACCCCCCAGCACGACCACACCCCAGCACGACCACTCCCCAGCACGACCACACCGCCTTGGTTGAGCGGTTGCCTGTCGTCGTGGAATGTTTCGTGGGGTGTCTCGTGGACTGTTTCGCGGGGCGTCTCGTGGAATGTTTCCAGGAAAACGTTGAAAACGGTCGCCCGCGTCTCGTGGAATGTTTCGCGGGGTGTCTCGTGGAAGTGCCCGTCGCCCAATACGGTGTCGTGAAAACGTTTCCATGCATGCGGTTCTATATCCCTTTCCGGGTTCGTGGGTCCATCATGTTTTTATTTCTCGTCCAAAGTCCCCCTGCAGGGGGACGCACCCGACTTAAGCGTAGACTTTGGGAGGTCCGCGAGACTTTCCTGGATCGGCGCTCGCCGCCCCTCGCGGCGCCTCGCGGCGGGGGCGGAGGAGGAGGAGGAGGAGGAGGAGGAGGAGGAGAAGGAGGAGGAGGCGAAGGGGGAGGAGGAGGAGGAGGAGGAGAAGGGGAAGGAAGAAGGGAGGGAGGAAGGAAGGCAGGGAGGGAGGAAAGGAAGGAAGGGAGGGGAGGCGAAGGAGCGCTGGAGCGGGGAGCGATGGGATCGAGGGAGCGAGGGAGCGAGGGAGCGAGGGAGGGAGGGAGGGAGGGAGAGAGGGAGGGAGGGGAGGAGGAGAGAGGAGGAGGAGGGGGAGGAGAGGAGGAGCCTAGGTGGAGGTCTATGGGGAGGTCTAGGAAGAGGTCTTGGAGGGGGAGGAGGGGGGGGGAGGAGGAGGAGGAGGAGGAGGAGGAGGAGTAGAAGGAGGGAGGAGGAGGAGGAGGGGGAGAAGAGGAGGAGGAGGAGGGGGAGGAGGAGGGGGAGGAGGAAGTGGTGGTGGAGGAGGAGGGAGGAGGTGGGGGCAGAGGAAGAGGATGATAAACAAGAATAATACGACTAATATTAAGACAACTCACCATACTAATAGGAATAATGATATGACTAATAGTAATATATAGCACCCCGCAATTGCGGATAAGAGTGAGGGGGCGGGCGCGGGCGACGCGGGCGTCGTCGAGCCGGCGGACCTCGTGGCCCCCACCTTCCCTGTCGATGGCGCTGTCCTCCTCCTCCTCCTCCTCCTCCTCCTCCTCCTCTTCCTCGTCCTCGTCCTCATCGTCATCGTCATCCTCCTCCTCCACCTCGTCCTCCTCCTCCTCCTCTTCTTCCTCGTCCTCCCTCTCCCCCCCTCGTCCCTTTATCATCGTCCTCCCATTGTCATCCTCCCCCTCATCGGCCTCCATCATCGTCCTCCCATTGTCGTCCATCATCATCATCATCATCATCATCATCATCATCATCATCATCGTCATCATCATCATCATCATCAGCATCATCATCATCATCTGCATCATCATCATCATCATCATCATCATCATCATCATCATCATCATCATCATCATCATCATCATCATCATCATCATATTCCCCCTTTTCCCCCTCCTCGTCTTCCTCCTCCCCCTCCTCCCCCTCCTCGTCCTCCTGCTCCTCCTCCTTTTCTTTCTCCACCTTATCCTTACATCCTCTCTTCTTCCGCGTTCTCTTCGTCCCCTGTTCACTCCTCCTGCCCCCCCTCCTTTCCCAAGATAACTGCAACGCAATCCTTTTTTCCACTTTCTGATCCCCGCCTTCTTTGATTACATAGGGCAACTCGCCAGGGCAGAGTTGCTGGACGGGCTGGTGTGGATGCGCAGGGCTTGAAGAGGACCTTGCGGGCTCAGGCGGCATGAAAAAATCCGCCGCCGCGCTTGTGCGGCATTGGTTTGTTCAGTGAACGTGGTTTAGGTCGCGGGTGGGTGGCGGGCTCTCCACCTCCACCTGGAAGGAATGCAAAAGCAGCCCGCCGCAGGCGCCAACAAAAATTGGTTTGTACACTGAATGTGGTTTGGGTCGCGGGTGGGCCGCGGGTTCTCCACCGGGAACGAATGCAAACGATGCCCGCCGCAGGCGCCGAAAAATGTGGTTTGTACCCTGAACGTGGTCGCGGGTGGGCCGCGGGCTCTCCACCTGAAACGAATGCGAAATATGCCCGCCGCTGGCGCCGAAAAATGTGGTTTGTACCCTGAACGTGGTTTGGGTCGCGGGTTGGTCGCGAGTTGGTCACGGGATGTGTCGCGGGCTCTCCAATTGGAAGGAATGCAAAAAAAGCCCGCCGCAGGCGCCGAAAATTGTGGTTTGTACCTTGAACGTGGTTTGGGTCGCGGGTGGGTCGCGGGTGGGTCACGGGGTAGGTCGCGGGTAGGTCGCGGGTGGGTCGCGGGTGGGTCGCGGGGTGGGTCGCGGGGTGGGTCGCGGGGTGGGTCGCCGGGTGGGTCGCGGGGTGGGTCGCGGGGTGGGTCGCGGGGTGGGTCGCGGGGTGGGTCGCGGGTGGGTCGCGGGGTGGGTCGCGGGTGGGTGGCGGGGTGGGTCGCGGGTGGGTCGCGGGGTGGGTCGCGGGTGGGTCGCGGGGTGGGTCGTGGGTGGGTCGCGGAGTCGCTCTTGGGTGGGACGACGACAACAACAACAAGACGAAGCAGAATCCGCGCCACGGATCCTCACTTCAGCCACGCACCCAGGGACAGTGAATGACCGTTCGGGCCCCCTCACTCTGACCAATGCTAATCTTATTCAACCGCTTCGCTCATTCCGCCGGCCCACGTTGTATGATCGCTACTGCTTCGCCGTGGGCCCAGGGCCATTGTGGCGCCGCCGAGGAGGAGGAATGCGAGGATGGGGAAGGGGAGGGGAGGAGGAGGAGAGGATGAGAAGGAGAGGAGGAGGATGAAGATGAGGAGGAGGAGGAGGAGGAGGAGGAGGAGGAGGAAGGGGAATGGGCGGAGGAGGAAGCCTCTCGTTTGCATCTTCTCTTGCTCTTGGGCCAAACAGGGTCGTCGTCAAGATGCTTTTTTGGGATGCCTCTTGGGGTCTTTTGAGAAGCTGTTCGGGGGCGCCTGGGAGGCAGTTTTGAACTTTGGGGCCTCTTTTGGGCCTCCTGGGGGCTTCATGGGGCCTCTTGGGGGCCTCTTGGCGGCATCTTGGGGCCTCTTGGGGGCCTCTTGGGGGCCTCTCGGGGCCTCCTGGGGCCCTCTTGGGGCGGAAGTCTCGAGTTTTCGGTTCGTGGTCCCCCTCTTGGGGCCGTCTTGGGCGCCTCTTGGGCCGTCTCGGGGCCCTCTTGGGCCCTTTTGGGGCCCTCCTGGAAGCCTCTTGGCCCGTCTTGGGGCGCTTTTGGGGGCCTTTTGGGCCGTCTTGAAGTATCGGATGGCCGAAAAGGCGGCAAGGCCAACATCCCCTCAAAACCATCGTAAAATTGATGAGTTTGGCCTCTGGGGCCCTCTTGTGAGGCCTCTTGGAGGCCACTTGGAGGCCTCTTGGGCCGTCTTGGGGCCATACTACTAATACCAACATCATTGGTAGCAATAGCAATAATACTACGGCGACTACTACGAAGAAGGGGAGTCGGCTAATAACAACAATAATGTTGCGAATCTGACGAAGCTTTATTATAATACCAAGAATGATACCACTAACAAAGATAGGGATAATCACACTACGGACAATACGAAAACTATTACTACCAGTACTACTACGGATATTAACAATACGAATGTTGAGACGACTATTACGGAAACGAGTAATCACACGAATGGCACTACGACGAATCATAATACGACATACTAGTTCTACTAAGGAGATCGTGAATAATCATAGTACGAGTAAGCATCATACTACAACGAACACTAAAAATAATAGTACTAATCAGAGGAGGAGGACGAGGAGGAGGAGGAAGAGGAGATGGAGGCGCAGGCCGAGGCGGAGGCGAAGGCGGAGGCGGATGATGATGATGATGATGATGATGATGATGATGATGATGATGATGATGCTGATGATGATGATTGATGACGACGATGACGATGACGATGGGACGATGATGCCTGATGATGTGATGCTGCTGCTGCTGATGCTGATGCTGATGATGATTGCTGTGCTGATTATGATGATGATGCTGATGAGATGATGATGATGGTGGTGGTGGTGATGATGGTGATGATGATGATGATTGAGATGATGATGACGATGATGATGTATGATGATGTATGATGAGCTGATGCTGCTGCTGCTGCTGCTGATGATATGATGATGCTGATGTGATGCTGGGCTGTGATGAGGATGCTGATGATGCTGATGAGATAATGATGCTGATGTGATGATGATGATGATGAGGATGCGAGGAGGAGGAGGAGGAGGAGGAGGAAGAAGAGGAGGCGGAGGAGGGGGGAGATGAGGATGATGATGAGGAGGAGGAGGAGAGGAAGAGGAGACGGAGGCGGAGGAGGAGGCGGAGGGCATGAGGAGGCGGGGGGAGGGAGGATGATTGAGGAGAGGAGGCAGGAGCAGGAAGAGAGGCGGTGGATGGGGGAGGAGGATGGGGTCTGGGAGGAGGAGGAGGAGGAGGAAGAAGACGGAGGAGGAAACATGAGAAGGAGGAGGAGGATGAGCAGGAGGAGGAGGAGGAGGAGGAGAGGGGGAGGGGGAGGAGGAGGTGTAGGAGGAGGATGAGGAGGAGGAGGAGGAGGGGAGGAGGAGACTGAGGAGGAGGAGGAGGAGGGGAGGAGGAGGAGGAGGATGAGGAGGAGGAGGAGGAGGCGGAGACGGAGGCGGAGGAGGAGGAGGAGGAACAGGAGGACGAGGAGGGGGACGTGGTGGTGGTGGAGGAGGAGGAGAAGGAGGAGGGAGGAGGAGGGAGGAGGAGAGAGGAGAAGGCGGAGGAAGGAGGAGGGTGGAACTTGGAACTCGGAACTCGGATGTCCTCGAAAGTCCACCAGCGGTGTGCAGGACGCGAAACGAGGGGGGCGGAGGCGGGAGGAGGAGGAGGCCGAATGGTAACACTAATGATAATATTCGTATTCGTAATGATAATAATACGACTAACAAACATAATATTAAGAAGAAGAGCAATACTAACAATATTAACACAATAGTAATAAGAAGACGAATGCGAATGATACTACGACGAGTAATACGACGAATAACAAGAATGGGAGTATTACGAATAATAGTAACACCAATAGTAATCAAACAACATACTAAGAATAGGCATGCGATTGATAATACGATGAAGACTTAGCATAATAATTGATTCCCGGCGGAGCCAGGTGAAATTCCGTGCCCCCCAGTGACTGACTGATTGGCTGACTGAACGTCAGGAGGGCACCTTGAACAACACATTTCAACCCGCCCGCGGGCGCGCAACAGCAACTGGGCGACACATTTCGACCCGCCCGCGGGCGCGCAACCGCAATCGCAACTGGGCGACACATTTCCACCCGCCCGCGGGCGCGCAACCGCAACCACAACTGGGCGACACATTTCAACCCGCCCGCGGGCGCGCAACCGCAACCGCAACTGGGCGACACATTTCAACCCGCCCGCGGGCGCGCAACCGCACTGGGCGACACATTTAACCCAGGCGACACATTTAACCCGCCCGCGGGGCGCGCAACCGCAACCGCAATTGGGCGACACATTTCAACCCCGCCCGCGGGCGCGCAACCGCAACTGGGCGACACATTTCAACCCGCCCGCGGGCGCGCAACCGCAACTGGGCGACACATTTCAAACCGCCCGCGGGCGCGCAACCGCAACCGCAACTACGCGACACATTTCGACCCGCCCGCGGTCGCGCAACCGCAACCGCAACTGGGCGACACATTTCAACCCGCTCGCGGGCGCGCAATCGCAACCGCAATTGGGCGATACATTTCAAACCGCCCGCGGGCGCGCAACCGCACCTGGGCGACACATTTCAACCCGCCCGCGGGCGCGCAACCGCAACCGATACTGGGCGCCACATTTCGACCCGCCCGCGGGCAACCGCACCTTGGCGACACATTTCATCCCGCCCGCGGGCGCGCAACCGCAACTGGGCGACACATGTCAAACCGCACGGGCGCGCAACCGCAACCGCAACTACGCGACACATTTCGACCCGCCCGCGGGGGGAGCTCAACCGCAACCGCAACTGGGCGACCACAAGTTCAAAAACCCCGCCGTGGGCGCGCAAACCGGCAAACCGCAAACTGGGCGGCCACATTCACACCGGCCCGCGGGGCGCGCAATCGCGGCACCTAGACGACACAGTTCAACCCGCCACGCGCAACCGCAACCGCAAAACTGGGCGACCAAATTTCACCCCGCACGGCGGCGCAACCGCAAAAAAACGCAACTGGGCGTTCCAGACACATTTCGACCCGCTCGCCATGTGCGCGCAACTCGCACTGGAGACACCGGGCATCCACCGCCTATGCGGGCGCGCAGGTGTCCGATATTGGGCGACACATTTCGACCGCTAGCGGGCGCGCAACAGCAACGGGCGACACATTTCAACCCCGCACGCGTGGGGGCCGCAAACCGCATCCGGGTGACACATTAAACCCGCCCGCGCAACCGCATCTGGGTGACACATTTCAACCCGCCCGCGGGCGCGCAACCGCCACCCCAACTGGGCGACGCATTTCAAACCGCCCGCGGGCGCGCAACCGCCACCCCAACTGGGCGACACATTTCAACCCGTCCGCGGGCGCGCAACCGCAACCGCACCGCTCACTTGCCGTCCTCCTCCAGGGCTTCTGAGGCGGAGGAAGGGTGGGAGGGAGGGGGGAGGGAAGGGGAGGATTTCCAGGATTTCCGCCTTCACGTAGTGAAATCAAAACATAAAAAAACGCACACTGCCAGGGCATATGCAGTGTGTTGGGAGAGACCTAGTGCACCTCGGCCGCTCCAAACCTCAAACGGCCTAGGAGGGGAGGGGGCGACTCTGAGGTGCACGTACACGTCCAACGCCTCCAGGACCGGCCCCCCCCCGAGGGGAGGGGACCCCCCTGCCACCCGCCAGGCACTCCAGGCACTGGCCGGGGACACAGGACACCCCTCGCCACCAGGCGGGGCACCTGGTGCGAGTCTCGGGGCGGGTGCCCTGGCCTGCACCCCCCAGTCCCCTTGCCCAAGGGGGACAGAGCAGGACTCCCTATGAGCCTGGCCGAAGCCAGACCCCCCCTCCACACCCTGGCGCGACCGGGGAGTCGCTGGGCCAAGACAGTGGAGGGGACCCGAATCGGCCGTAGCCGAATCGGGATTACCGTTTAGGCCCGAAGACCGGGGTCGGTGCCCCCATACAGGCCACGACTAAGCGGGTTTCAGTTCCCCCGGACGCCGGGAGGTGCCGCCCACACCAACCGGCTGCCCGCCCGGGGGCGGGAGGGAAGAGGAGGAGGAGGAGGAGGAGGAGGAGGAGGAGGAGGGAGGAGGAGGAGAAGTGGATGAAAAGGTGGAGGAGGACGAGGAGCAGGGACGAAGAAAAGTGGGAGGAGGAAGAGGAGAACGGGTGAGAGTGGAGGGGGGGCAGTAGAAGACGAAAAGGACGGACAACAGGAGAGGAGTACGAACAGGACAGGGAGCAGGCGAAGGAAAAGGATGATCTGGCGCAGGAGCACGCGGAGGAGGAGGGGGAGGAGGACGAGGAGGAGGTAGGAGGAGGTAAGGATGAGGAGGAGGAGGAGGAGGAGGAGGAGGAGGAGGAGGAGGAGGAGAGAGGAGGAGGGAGGACAAGGAGGGGAGGAGGAGGAAGAGCAGCAGCAGGACGAGGAGGAAGAGGAGGACGAACAGGAGGAGGAGGAGGAGGAGGAGGAGGACCAGGATGGCCAGGAGGAGGAGGAGGAGGACCATTGGGAGGGGGATGCCAGGGTGGTGCTGCTTGAAAAGGTTCACGAGCAGGTGCTTGTTGCGGAGGACGGAGGAGGACGAGGTGGTGGACGTCGAGGAGGATGTGGGCGTGGAGGTGGATGTCCTCCTCGCGGCCTCAGGGCGTGGCCCGCGGTTCTCCGCCAGGACATTGCAGCGGGGAATCCCCATTCCACGCTGCTGCCTCTGATTAATCATGAAGATACTCAGCATAGTAAAGATAATATATTGAATGATGAGAAGAGGACAAAGAGAAGAGGAGGAGGAGCGACCGCGGAGGGAGGAGGAGTGGAGAGTGAGAGAGAGAGTGAGAGAGAGAGACAAAGAGAGAATAAGAGAGAGAGAGAGAGAGAGAGAGATGGAGCGATGGAGGCCCGTCCAGACAGTGAACGCATCAGCCGTCTCACACGCCGCCCTAACCCCTGGTAAGCGCGGGTCGGCAGATGCTCTTCTCCGCGAGGAAGAAGCGGTGGAAGATCTCCGACAAGCTGGGCGACCCAAAGGGCGGCTTCGCGTACCTCGCGGCCGGCGCGGGCGGCAGCCGCCCCTCCGCGGCCGCTGGCTGGCGGGTCTTCGACGGCAAGGACGAGGGCTGCGGCCTGGACGGGCACGTCCGCTGCCGGCCCCTGCCGGAGGCGGCGGGGCAGCCCGCCACCTGCGCAGGCGGGGCTGGACGACGATGGCGCCGTGGTGACCCCGGGCAGCGACAGACACAAAGCACATCGAGGGGGCGGGCGGCCCTGGGAAGTACTATCTGGCCGCCTGCGGCGGGCCCCGCCGCTCGGGGCCGGCGCGGCGTCGGGATGCACGCCAAGGGGTAGACCATGACTGAGGTGGTAGAGCCATCGTTGGGGCCGTCTTGTCGGATCCGCTCGATATTTCCTTGAAATTTACTGCGGTCCCCCGCTCCCGCTTGAGATTTCCTTACAATTTACTCAAGAATCGAGCTCCCGCCTGAGACTTCCTCGCAATTTACTCAGGCGCCTCGTTCTTGCCATTCAGGAGTCGCGCGTTCGCTGGGGACTTCCTCAAATCCGTAAGGGCTTCGCCCCCTGCCGCCGGCCCCCTCTCTCGGAGAATGGGCCATGGAAGAACAGGTTTTGGACCCTGACCCCGCGGATCTGCGTGAGGGGTGGCACCGAATTTCAGAAATGTGGCAAATCCCCTGTGTTTTTGGACCCTGACCCCGCGGATCTGCGTGAGGGGTGGCACCGAATTTCAGAAATGTGGCAAATCCCATGTGTTTTTGGACCCTGACCCCGCGGATCTGCGTGAGGGGTGGCACCGAATTTCAGAAATGTGGCAAATCCCTTGTGTTTTTGGACCCTGACCCCGCGGATCTGCGTGAGAGGTGGCACCGAATTTCAGAAATGTGGCAAATCCCATGTGTTTTTGGACCCTGACCCCGCGGATCTGCGTGAGGGGTGACACCGAATTTCAGAAATGTGGCAAATCCCATGTGTTTTTGGACCCTGACCCCGCGGATCTACGTGAGGAGTGTCGATTTTGAGCCCCCCCAGCAATTCAGACAACGCGCCCAGGTGGTGCTAAAAATCTGGTTTGGGCCTCCCTTCCCTCGCGCGGTCAATCAACTAGTTACAGTAACCAGCAAGAAGCAGAACTGTAACACTGGAAGCTACAAACTACTACTGGTACAGGAAACTGCGAATCACGGGCCTACAGCCTGGTGGCCCCACAAGGGGGCCAGCGGATTTACTTTGGGATCGCACTCTCGCTGGGAACTTCCTGGCTAATCACGCAGAACGCGCGATCGATCCGCCCGCTCGGCCCGCCCGTCAGGGTCATGCCCTTCGTGCCCCATGATCGCTTCCGCTCTTTGTGCCTCACTGCTGCCCTTCGTGGCCCCTCCCCTTGTGACCCAGTCGCTGCCCTTCGTGGCCCCGATGCTGCCCTCAGTGGCCCCTCGCTGTGTGGCCCAGATATACGCCCGTCGTGGCCCCCAGTCGCTCGTGCCCTCAGTGGCCCCATTGCTGCCCTTCGTGGTCCAGAAAATATTTGCAGATAGATGGAGTCCTGGGATTTATGTATATTTTTTGTGCGTCCTAGGCCCCGTTCAGTCTGAGAGAGACCGGGGAGAGGGTCGACTGCGCGTAAGAGTGACCCTTCGCTGGAGTGGCTTTTTGGTGCGGGCCCACTGGGGTCCTCCGGATCGCCGAACGCGATGCGGTAGTAGCATCTTGCGCGCTTGTGTTCGATCCCCCGCGGCCCCCAAGAAGCCGTGCTCCAAAGGGTCACTCTTACCCATCGTCACGCTGGCGTGTAGTCGAGAGGGGGATCGAGGCTCGAGGCTCGAGGAGCGCAGAGGACGATGGCCCCTGGTGGCGCTTGCGCGGCTCCTGGTGCGCTTCGTGAGCCAGGTGCTTAGCGATGTCCAGCGCCGACCCAAGAAATGATCACGTACTTCCAACATGTTACGTGTTTTCTCTATTTGATTCGAGCTGTAAGCGAGCTACGGAGCTGAGATGCACACCAATCGACAGGAAATGCTGAGGAGCGCTAGTCTAAATAAAGTATCTACAGGCCTGAGATCGGTCTGCTACCAGAGCTGCGACCAGATGGCAAGGAAGCTCTACGAGTTCCCGGCGGTGACCAAGGTTGACGGTTTACCGCCGTTATGGTTGCGATTCCTTGTCAGTCTCGCTGTGGTCATCCCATCCTGGTCTCCTCGCTTCCCTCTCCTAGCGTCGCCGTCCTCCGCCCCTTCGTCCCCCTTCCCCCCCCCCCGGCTCGTGGCCAGAACCCCGTGCTGACTCGGCAGGCCCGCCTGGGCGTGCTGCGGGGCGGCCGCATCAGAGCAACCCGACCAGGCCTCTGCATCTCCCCTGCCCAGGCGACGAGTCATGGTGCTCTTCAGCTGCAGTATGGACCCACTTCCCTCTTTGGGGAGGACCAGGGGTGGACAGAACCCCCAACAGTGACACGTCGATTAGTGAATTGTCCGTTTTCGGTTCTCGAGAGGGCGCCGTGGCCGTTGTTTTCCAGGCTCGCGCCCGCCAGGTTTGGGCCTCAGGTCGTTTTCACTAAACCACGTTTTACTAAGGGGGGGGGGGGTCCATCCCCGAGAGGACCCGGGTGCCATGGGGGCGGCAGGAGATCGAGGCCATACGGTCAGGGCTGGGCACGCAGGCTGCCGCTCGAAGGGCGGGGGGGGGGGGGAAGCCTTGAGCTGATATGGCCAGGGAGTGGACTGTGGCTCGAGGGGGCGTGGACGACTTCGAGTGAGCAAGGCCTGGAAACCGGACGCCGAGGCGTCTGCCGTCCGACGGCTCTGCTCGGGGCGCCGCTGGGGAGGCCTCCGGGTGCGCTGCGGCCCCCGTGCTCGCTCCTGCCAGCCTCGAGGTGGCCGTCCTGGTGGAATACCGACAGCGCCTCACAGAGAAATTGAGACGAATAGTGTTGTGGACCTAGCTCGAGTAGCAGAACGAGTTCAGGCCTCTCGATGCAACAGACGCACGCGCCTCGTGATACTGAATCAGTTTATGTGCGCACCAGCTCTGTAGCTCATCTGAAGCTTGAGTACAGGAAACCGACAGCACTGGTCAAGATGACTCGAAAAAACACAAATAGTTTGACGGACTAGCTCGAGTAGCAGACCGAGTTGAGGCCTCTGGATGCAACAGACGAACGCGCCTGATGATTCTGAATCGATTTCTGTAAATATCAGCTCTGTATCGAAATCTCGAGTTAAGTACAGAAAACCGTCAACGCGTGTCAAGATGATTCGGAACGCAGATGGTTCCTGCAAATATTTTGATAGTAATAGTGCAGCTACGGACCTGAGAATTTAACTGGCGGACGCGGCATAACCCACCGCACGTGAGAAAAATACCGGTTCTCCAAATGAATTGTCAAATATCTCAGATTGTCTCTTTTGGTCGGCTCGGCGGCCAACTAGCTCCACCCCGCGCCGGAATTCCTCTAGCTCATCGATGACGAAGAGCTATACTAGGTACAGACGAGCGACGAGATGGCCAAAGATGCTGGAGTCAAGGCGAAAATATCGGATGGGGACATCAGCGCAGGACACAGGAGAGAGCAAACGCCATAGCCTACGGCGAGATTGAGGCAACCACCCACCAGCAGGGCAGCCACGCGCACCCACAGCGGATGAGAAGCCGAAGGAGAGCAAGGAGGACGTCAGGGAGGCCCCCAGAAAGATCAGCGAGCACAAAAAGGACCAAGCCATAGAAAAGGCGAGACTGCAGCTCAGGAATGCCGAGAGAATGCAGAAGGAGCGGCCGAGAACCCAGGAGGAGGTCCAGCAGTGGGAGATGAACATGCCCACGATGAGGTTGACACCACGGCGGAAGAAGTGGAGGCCAAGGCACATGAAGCTGAAGGAAACAGCAAAAGAACCCAGGTGGAAAGAGCACCGACTGGGATCCGGCGGTAAACCGTCAACCAGGTAAGCGCCGAAGCCTCGTAGAGCTTTGTTCTCGCGCGGCGCTCCTCGGAACACAAGAAAGAAGCTTTCTCAAGCGTGAAGAAAAGCTCGAAAAATACGTGTTTTTTTGTCATTTTGCAGCTTCGTTTCGTGGACATAGGTCAGACCTGTCCATGCGAGGAAAGACAGCGCCGGGTGATACTGGATCGTTTTATATGCATACCAGTTGTAGCTATTCTAAATCTTCAGTTAAGGGAAATCGACAGCACTTGTCAAGATCACTGGTATAAGACGAATAGCTTCGCGGATCTAGCTCGAGTAGAAGACCGAGTTCACACCGCAGACGAACGCACCTGATGATTATAAATTGGTTTCTGTAAGCATCACCTCTCTAGCTGTCCTAAATCTCGAGTTAAGTACAGAAAACCGTGAACGCGTGTCAAGATGACTCGAAACGGCCGATGGTCCCCTCAAGTCTTTTGATAGAAACTGGCAGACGCGGCAGAACCCACTTGAGGTGGGAAAAACACAGGTCCCCAAAACGAACTTTCAGTTTTTGCAGAAAGATAGAAAAAACGACCCCAAGTTATCACATTGTCTCTTAAGGTCGGATCTGCCAACTAGCTCCATCCTGCGCCCGAATTCCTCTTAGCTCATCTTGGCGAAGAGCTTCGCGAGGAATTCTCAGTCGTCTCGCGCTTCCTCCCTGCCTGTTCAAGGCAACAGGTTGTCTGACTCAGAAAAACGCATGTTTTGTGTCAATACAAAGTCGGTTCCTCCAAGCGTTTTGATAGTAAACCTGCTCCTAGAGCCATAGGTAAATTACCAGCATATGCTCCATATCTTACTACAAGGAATGAAAATCCCACTTCCAGAAACGAACTTGAGTATATTGCAGAAAGTTATATATATATATATTATATATTTTTTTAAAACAAAAAAAAAAAGTTACCACATCGTCTCTTCTGGTCGAGGTACTCAACTAGCTCCAGCCTGCGCCCGAATTCTTCTTAGCTCTTTGCCGAAGAGCTCGACGAGGTATTTTGGTAGCGTCCAAAATCCGGAGACTGGGATCCGGCGGTAAACCGTCAACCAGGTAACCGCCGGGAGCCTCGTAGAGCTCTGTTCTCGCGCGGCGCTGCTCGAAGCACACGAAAGAAGTTTCTTCAAGCGCGAAGAAAACAGATCGAAAAATGCGTTTTTTAAATTTTCCGTCTTCGTTTCGTGGACTTAGCTGCCGGACCGAGTTCGGACCTCTCGATGCGAGGAAAGAACGCGCCGGGTGATACTGGATCGGTTCATATGCGTACCAGCTCTGTACTTATTCTAAATCTTCAGTTAAGGGAAATCGACAACACTCGTCAAAATCACTCGTATAATGGTTGCGCGGATCTAGCTCAAGCAAACGAACGCGCCTGATGATTCTGAATCGGTTTCTGTTAGTATCAGCTCTCTAATTGTCCTAAATCACGAGTTAAGTACAGAAAACCGTGAACGCGTGTCAAGGTGACTCGAAACGGCCGATGGTTCCCTCAAGTCTTTTGATAGTAACATTGCAGCTACAGACTTGTAAATTTACCTGGCAGAGGGACATAGCCCGCCACAGGTAAGACAAATATCTGTTTGGAAAACGAATTTGCCAATTTTGCACAAAGATAGAAAAACCGGCCCAAAGTCATCACATTGTCTCTTAAGCTCGGGTCGGCAAACTAGCACGACCCTGCGCCCGAATTCCTCTTAGCTCCTCTTGCCGAAGAACTTTACGAGGTACTGAGCGCCAGCGGTAAACCGTCAACCTTTCTCACCGCCGGCGGACTCGCACAGCTTCCTGACCGTATACTATATCCAAAGAATTAGTAGAGAACGGACGGTTTTTCAGCCCGAGCGCTAATATCAGACTTGCTGTGCGTGTAGAAAATACCGTCAGGGAGAAAGTTGCAAACTACGAATGCTGCGCGAAGAAATTCACGATAATTTGGGCGAAATATCATTCAAATACGAATAGTTTGTAAATTACCTCAGATAGCAGACCGCAAAAGCTCGCGATGTTTCTGGATCGGCTTCTGCACGCACCAGCTCTGTAGCCCCTTTATAGCATAAGTTGAAGACATAAAATGGACAACATCTGTCAAAATGACTCGAAGAATACAAAAAGTTTTCCGGGCCTAGCCCGACTAGCAGACCCAGTTCAGACCTCTGGATAGAACAGACGAACGGTCCTGATGATTCTAAATTAGTTTCTATGCATATCAGCTCTCTTATATTCTGAAATGCGAAAGCCGACTGCGGTTGCCAAGATGACTCAAACGATGCGAATAGTTTCGCGGTCGTAGGCAAAGTGGTAGACCGAGTTCAGACCTTTCAATGCTATTCTGCATCGGTTTATGTGCGTATCAACTCTGTAGTTTTCATAGAGCTGAGTTAACTACAGAAAGCTGAGAGTTTTTTTCAAGATATCTCGAGCAATACAACTAGTTTTGTGGATCCGGCTCAAGTAGCAAACCAAGTTCAGACCTCTGCATGCAACAGATGGACGTAACTGATGCCTCAGGATCGGTTTCTGTAATTATCAGCCCGGTAGCCCCCTCAGCCCGAGTTTAGTACAAAAAACCGACAGCAACTCTGAAAATAAGTCGAACAATACGAACAATTTCGCGGACGTAGCTCGAGCAGCAGCCCAAGTTCAGACCTTCGGATTCACAGACAGACGCGCCTGATATTTCTGAATTGGTTTCCGTAAGGTCATCTCAGTAGATCTCCTACAGCTCAAGTTATTCCCGGGGGGCGAACTCTCTGAGAGCTAGAGGGCTTTAGAGTAGGAGCCGGACGGTGGCGGTGCCCGCCAGCAGCCCATCTCCGCCGCCCCACGATCCTCGCAGCGCCTCGCCCGTCCCGGCAGCGGGTTCGGGTGCGTTTTCCACGTGCGCCTACGCTCGCGCAGGCACGCGTGGAAGCGTTCTTGGCAGCGTTTCAGAAGCGCTGCATGGGAGCCCCCGGCGCTCTCTAGAAAGATTTCCTCTCCCGCGGTCTCTTTGCTCTCCGGGTTCTGGACGCTACCAAATGTTCAAAAAACCGTCACCGCGTGTCAAAATGACCCGAAACGGCCGATGCCGCCGCAACGTTTTTTTTTTTTTGCAGTAATGAGTACCCGATCGACTTGATAAAGACGGCGAGCGGGAATGACATCGAATACGATCAGAAAAAATACTAGAGCTCAAACGACCTGTTGAATTTCAAGCACGAAATTTTCAACCGACCAAAAGTTAGCAAAAAGTCCGTCGAATTTTTTCTTGCCAACTAGCTCTCCAGCGCCCCGGAACTGGGAGCCGGCGGTAAATCTTCAACCAAGTTGCCGTCGCGAGCCTCGCAGAGCTCCTGGATCACGGAATTCCGTTGGATCCCCACAAGTAAATTCAAGCAGACATGAGCTTAGAACATCAAACATGTTCTATAATCATTCGGAAAATACACTCCAGCCCATTGTTTCTCCACGTTTTTTGACAGCAATATTCCAGCTACGAACCTGAAAATTCGACGGGCGAACGCGGCAGAACCCATTCTACGTTACAAAAATAGTGCTCCCCAAAATAAATTTCAAAATCTCTCAAAATATTCAAGTGGGAGCCGGCGGTAAACCGTCAACCAGGTTACCGCCGGAACCCTCGTAGAGCTCTGAATAGACCAAGTTCGCTTCCAGATAACAGCAGCAAATCGCTTCTCAATAAAACAAAGACATGTTGTTCTCAACGTTGGTTTCCTTAGTCTTTTAATCGAAATAATGCAGCTAGAGCCCTGAGGATTGCACCATCGAAAGCGCCATGATTGACTGCATAGAATAAAAATTCGAATTCCCAAAACGAATTTCAAAATCTTTCGCAATCTTTGAAAAACCGACCCGAGGTCACCACATTGTCCGCCCGGGCCGGGTTGGCCAACTAGCTGCATCCCGCGCCGG